TTTCAATGGGTTCAGGGTATAATAAAGTAAAGTATGAGTAACGGAAAAAAGAAACGTAAGGAAATAGAAGCATGGAAAAAAGAAACCGGAAGTGTTTTTCAAGTCTTTTAGTCTCTTTTTTGCAACGGGTGAAAGTCTTTCTAATTGAAGTGGACACAAACAGACACATAAAGCCTCAAACGCAGAGCCAGATGCATAAGGCTATCCCCACTGCGGACACAGATACACTCTGTCAGTGTATTCTATATTCAATGATGCAGCAAGCGGTCAACGCCTTTGACTTCTTGCAAGGCGCTGCCAAAGGAGTTTTCTTTTCAAAGTGGCCAGCAAGAGAGACATAGAGAGAGTTGGCAAAAAGGCGAGTGAAGCAAAAGTAAAGTACAGCAAAGTAAAGGCTGAGCGCTGTCCACTTGCACGGCCCGTGTATGTCATTAAAATTTACAATCTATTTTGCTTGCTAATTGGCACTTGGCAATGCCAGCCTTTGTGCTCGAATAAGTGTCTAGCTATGTAGTCCAACAGCCAGCCAGCCTGACAGCCAGCCAGTGAACCAGCCAGGCAGAAGCCAGATTCTGGCCATAATCGTTATTTGCACCATGAAAGAAGTCTGGGCCAGCAATTAGTGACAAGCCAAGATGTGGCAGCAAATGTTGCGTGAGCTTTTAATTATGGCCAAGTGTTGATGATGGCGACAACTAAGCGACGGGCTGAATGGCACTGACAATACGCACCATAACTAACTAAGTGAGGCAATAAACGCCAAAGCACGAAGCAAAAAGCGAGTAGGAAGCAGGAAGCAGAAAAGAAAGTGAAGAAGAGAAAATGAGGGTTTCTCTATGCAATTATTGTTTGCCCACATAAAATGGTACCGTTTAGGCACTTTTTCAATGGCTATGCAATTTTTAATGTGTGCGATCAATTACAAAGCTGAAAGGCCACGCATTAGCAGAGCCAGAAAACGGCACAGTTACAAGTAATAACGACTTGGCAGCCTCCACCAGCCCCACTTCTATTTAAGCAATCCCCATAGACTGCATTCCCCCAGTCAAGCCAAACTGAACCACAAAAGTCAAGCCCCATGCACAAGTGCGTGTGTGTGTGTGGGTGAGTGGGTGTGTGGGTGTGCAAGTGTGTGAATGGATGATTTCCACTTTGCCCAGTGAGTCAGTCAGGCTGGCAGCCACAATCCTTCATTGTTGTTGCAGGCAGCAGCAGCAGCAGCAGCAGGAACAGCGGGAGCAGTAGCAGGAGCAACAGCAGCAGGGCTAACGATAAAATAAATTTGCATATGAATTGAGAATTAAGAACATTTTGCACATCGTCCTCCGCTGTAGCCCCTCCTCCAGCGCCAACTCCTGCCTGCACCTGCCAACCAGTTGCCATTTTTGATTGGGTTGCCTTGGACGGGGCGATGTGTTGCTATTGTGGCTGCTGTTTGGCCTTTGAATTAGAATTCACACATACACCCACATATATACATAGTCGAAAGTGTGAATGGCTTATTTCCTTGCTGAAGCTATAGCTGATGCTGTTGTTGTGGCTGCTGCTCCTGCTCTTTTGACCGCTTTTTGGCAATTTCCATTTTCATTTTAGCTCTTTTTGGCGAACAATTTTTACACGCTTTGCTCTTTGGCTGATAGAAATATAAAAAAAACAACTCGTTAGCCTATTGAAATTGAAAATGTTTTTGGCTGATGCGATAAGAATGTGCAGGGGATTATAGTGTATATATATATCTGTATATATATATATATATATATATATAT